CAACCCGTCCGTGGAGGATCAGGAATCAGAAAAGTGGAAAAACTCTTTTTTTTCCACTTTTACCCGATGTATTCCAGCATCCAGCTGCCATGCACGTGGGCATTGTCAGTCTCACTATAGCTCTGGTGAATTTCAATGGTGAAGTCCTCTGGAAGCAAAATCAGTGGGAACTACTAGACACATCTGCAATCAACAACAATTATTGAAGATTTCCAAAGCGGGGAGAATGGCGCTAGGCTTACCGCACCGTGACGTCACTGCTGCAAGATGGCAGGAGGGAGGGGTTGCTATATTTGAGCAAAATTGGCCGCTCCCAGACTCGTAAATAATAACTTTTAATTTTTTACTGATTAATGCTAAATTTATTAACCCTGTAATGCCAAATGTGTCATATTTGATACATACGGTTTCTGAAATGTTTTGCGTCTGACATGTTTTGCATAAGTTAAAGGTAAAAACTTTGCTCAAAATCCTGTTGTACACAATCAGATATATCTGATAACAGAGGGCAGAAGACTACACAAAAAATAATCTTGACTTTTTTTTCTCTTTACATATTTTGTTAAAATGCCAAATAAGGACTTGGCATAAGGGCAGAAAATTACTTTTTTTTGGGTTTGTTCTTGGATCGGGCTTGGATCATTATTTATACCTTAAACTAATACGTTCGCAGAGATTTAACCCAAATCTCTGCGAACGTATTAGTTTAAGGTATAAATAATGATCCATTGATCATTCCTTGCTGACTGGACTTTTCCTTTAAAGAAGACTTCTTGAAAAATTAAATGAATGAAACTAAAACTTTTCCACCTGAGGAGTTCTGGATAGAGCTTTTTTTTTTTATTTTTTTATCTTAAATGCCAAATGTTTGCATATATTTTTACAATCTTGGTATAATTCGTGCTCTAAGTGGGTCGCTCTAACAGCTGCTTAGCATGTTATCATGTTTTACAGCCTCTATGCTCCAGTTAACTATTAATCAATTCCAAAAGCAGTTGACCATTATTTCAATAATTGATTAATCTGATTCATAGTTTCAACCCTAATGGGAACAATAAGCTTTTTTTTTTTTTTGGTTCTGGATGAGCCCGGTTGATCCTGCTGGTTGGTGGGGGCACAGAGACAGACAGACGCACAGAAACTAGAGAAAGGGTTGCGTACCTCGTGCCTCCTCTGCCTCTACGGTGGCTGTGTAAGCGTGAGGAGAAGAGCCATGCCCAGAACAACAATGGAGAGAGAGTGGGACGGTTAGACATCATCAGACACATCATCAAAGCATCCATCAGTCCTGTTAACACGGATCCAACATCATCCAACCCCCCCATCCTGGAGGGGAGAGCATCGCCATCATGCTGCCCTGAAGGGACCCGATGCGTACGCTGATGGGTCCAAGTTAGAGGAGCTGCTGATCTCTGACCTCTAACTGCTGCAGAGAAGAACCATCGGGTCCAGGACTAGACAACAGAACCAATGTGGTCCTACTGGACCCCCCTTAGGAAGGGACAGGATGGCACAGATTCTGCTGGGAGGGGATCCCATCAGAACCAGGTCCAGGCTTCCTCTGCATCATCCTCAGACTTCCTGCCAGTCCTTGCGTTACGCAGCGGTAAGACCGGACGCGAGTTCAGAAGCAAAGAGGCGTCTGATGCTTCATTTTTTTCGATCGTTGTGCAAAATAAAGTCAGACGCGCCTCAAGAGGACTGACAGCGAGAGCCAAAACTGGTGTCTGACATGCCAAAAATGGCATCTGCAAGTATGCCGGTTTCCAACTGGCATAAGCCGGTTTCCAACTGGCATATGCCAGTTAGAAACCGGCATATGCCAGTCTGGAGGAGAGCTGCAGGACATTTAGATGTGCATTGAAGCGTCAACCATAGACTTTCTCCATTAACCAGCTGCTTCTTCTGCTCCAATAGTGTTCGGTGTGAACGTCGTTACTATGAAACCGTCCAGAACCGGAGCCATCTATCCAGGTCCATTTTCACTGCAGCTCTATCTCAGCAGGGCAGCATGATCCCTCCCCCCCTCCTGAGAAGTCTGTAGATGTGCGTGGGGGGGCTGGGGTTAGTTTTGGGGGTTGGGGTGAGAACAGGCCCAGTTAGTGGGATCTCCTTCGGGTTAGTATCTGCCAGGTCCATACTCACCGCTCTGCAGAGTGCGGCGCCCTCCAGACAGAACGCCCAGCGGCAGCGTCCCTGTGGGGGTGAGCCCCTTCAGCTGAAGCACGCTCTCATTCTCCTCCCTGGGAAAAAACAACACATGTATTTTTATTTTATAAGTTTAACCTCTAACCATTTTAGTGAAAGGATTTTTATCCAAAACCGAATTAATGTGCACAAATAAGGAATAGGTGTATTAACCATATATGTAAACAGAGTTTTATTGGGCCCCTGGGCTACTGCCTAGTATTGCCCAATGGTAAATCCCCCCATCTGTGTGACATCAGGGGCTGAGCAGGATTCCCAGAGGGAAGACCTGATTTTCGGTAAAAGTTGACTAGAGATGGGAACCATATACCCCATTTACACTACCCTTGAAAAACCGTGCCGAGTCCGGTCCGAGCTC